TAATAGCAATGGCCTCCAACCTAATAGCAATGGCCTCCAACCCAATAGCAATGGCCCATGGGGCTTCTGCTGCAACCACTAGTGGATGTAGGTAACCAGTGGTTCCGACTAAAACCGAAGAATAGAAGAATAGTGATCCCTTAAGTGTATCTGGGATCCACTAGGAACTATATATTAGATTATATTAGATCATATATAGCTTAGCTCAAGCAAGTGGCAGTTCTGTGCTACCCAGTGAGAGTCAAATAAGCACATGGAACTGCGAGGGGTTCGAGGTCCAGTCCCATGTTCCCAATCGAAACTATTGTTCCTTGAAAAATGCGTCGGTTACGAGGCCCCGTTCTGTCGGAGCTGGAACGTTTCGTCTTCTCGAGGCCGAGCCGATCACCCGGTTTCCCCGAGCGGCGTGCGCCCAGTTCACGAAAGAGCTGGCGGCGCTCGGACAGGACGCTGGCAGCATCGCTGGGGCGGCCCAGGAGGATGTAGCCTGGGCGGAGATGTAGCATACTGTCCGGTCGGACCGCCACGGTCCGCTGATCGACGGAATGGCCGGATGCCTCCGGACTGTGACGTGGAACACTGTGACTGTGCGTGCTTTTAGGAAGCCCTTTCCGGGGCTGTTGAGTGCAGCGCTCTCGGGTCAAGTTGGTGCAGTTTGGTGCAGTTCCGGGATGAAAGAGGCCAGGTCCTTTCAAGGCTGCCATTATCCTAATTGGATCGCTTTGAACCCTACCCTGGGAGTCAAAGACGGCAAGAATGTTGCAAAAAGAATGGTCTTTACAGGTGCGACTCGAAAAGGAACTTCAATGTGACGAAAAATTGTCGGGCATACAGCATGCTTCATGATCTTCATGAGTCATTTTCGGAAGCACCGTGAAACCGATTCAGAAAGTTCTGCGTAGGTCTTCAGGTCGTCAGGCCAGGCTCAGGTGGCCAGGCTCAGTTTCGAACCCGGAGCAGAAACCATGAAAAGGACATGTGTTTTTTTGTTTGACTGTTCATGGGAGGGGCCGGATATGGTTGTGGGGTCACACTGGACACGAAGTTCATTCCATCAACTCCAGTGGATCGGCTCGCCTCCAGCGAGAATGTGTATCATCCAAATGTGTTCTTCGTGGACACGTGATATGATGTCATCAGTAGCGGCACATCTGTGGCACATCTGTGTGGCTCTTCACTCATGAAGCCTGCCACCTGGTCATCTCAATGCTTAAGTTGGTCCTCATTGAATTCGGATTCATCTCCTCAAAAAAAACAAAGCCTGGCAAGCCTGGGCGTTGCTTCGACAACACCTCTAATTGTCGTTCTTTTTCCGGGCGTTCGGCCGTTCCCGGGGCACCGGAACGGGTCGGTCGGCGCCGGTGGCAACGCTGCGAACGGTCGGCAGTTCCAAAGCAGAAGGCGAACAAACACACGAGGCGGCTGCATGTTTCCTGCATGCCAGAGGCCAAGAGGGGCGGCATGCCAGAGGTCAACGGGATGTTCCGGCAAGAATCGAACGGAAGGGAAGGCACTGCATGCCGTCTGCATCTTGGCAAACACCCTTCCACAAGTTCCGGAAGGAAAATCAAAGCGTTTCTCCTTCCATTCCCGTTCCAATCCGTGGGACTGATATATCTACCTATACAATGACCAATGAAACCCACCCCAACATATACCTGGACCATTTAATGGATGTCTTATGAAGATTCCTAAGCAGTGTAATTAAGGTACTTAGTACATTGGACACCCAAACAGGATGGTCCTGCTATGTATACATACACAGACAGGACAAAAGTTGGTAACAAGCCCGTAAGGACGTGTCCTACAACCCTCTCGGGATCACAGTGGAATTCCGCCGGAGGAATTTCCACCCCGAAATACCCCGAAGTAATTGTTTAATCTAGGATTTAAAAAGCTGGTTCGGGGTGGAAACTCCTCCGGAATTTCAAGAGGAAGGAGAGTTGTCAGTTACATATCTCATTGGATTCTGGAGCACGGCTGGGCGGCTACCAAACTTTTTTCCTGAAGTATGTCGGGTTTATGGATTCGTTGGAATTGCCGCCGAGCAGCACTTGGCGATGGAGGGGATGGCATCCGCCTGCAATCGACCACCCCCAGACAAACAGAAGCGTGAGAAGTCGTGCGCCTGCCAGTGAAAGAGGCTGCAATAGATACTCCACCTATGCATTTTATACGCTGTTTATCGCGGTTTATACCTCTGTCCTACACCGAAACTCCCTATACACATGATAGACCACCTGCTTGCCTCTGTCCTACTTCGAAGTGGACAAATACACGTCGATGGCCTCCTGTCTCCAAACGACGTCGACGGAGGACCTTTAGATCCGAACGATCCGAACTCTATCATGGCTCCAAACTTCACACGCAATTCGAACCCAAAAACACAACGAACCTGGACCTTCAAGGGGTGTCCAATCCAGGTCCATTGGTGACCCCTTTGAAGGTGCTGGAAAACAAAGTCGCAACGTCATGGAGGCCCCCGAATCAGATTCCTTGAGCCGGTCCGATGACTTAACCCAAAAACTCTCCTGACCTTGTCGAAGTTCCGATCAAATCCGTTGACCTTCATTTCAGATCATTTCAATCCAAATCGTCAAATAACTCAATCCAGATCGTTTTGATCAGGCACTGTTTCATACTCTGGGCTTGGAGAAAATAGTGCTGAGAGTGGATCACATGTCCTCTCAGTGTTGGGACCAAAGATGCGGAGATACTCGGAGATCTGGAAAAAGGAAACCGCCCAAGCAAATTAGTAGATTCAACCAATAGCGTCACAGAAAATCCTCACTGAACTTCTCAATTCACCGTATTAAACTATATGTATATAAACATATATTAAATATACTTAAATATATCTATAAATATGTCGATGGACATACTCAGATTGGGAACCAAGAACCGGCGCCCCACTCTTTTGCCTCAAGGTACTTGTCACCGGAGCCGTGCAGTTTTTGCTTCGCTTGCCTTGCGGAGCCAACTCAGGAAAGGGGCCCCCAGTCATCGGCAGACGGAAAATCCAGTCACGGACAAGCAGGAACGCTTAATCTAAAGCTGGAGCTTCCAGAAAACCCCTCCAACATCCAAGCTCCGCCCGTTCCAGAAAAGCTCCAAAACGCCCATGTCCACCATCTTCGCCTCCCAAGCCAGTCCGGGACATCGCCAGATCCGGGCCGGTGGAGCCCGGAGTCGTCCACCGTCCACGTTGGCCGATGTCGCGAGTCCACTCCGTCAACGGCTGCGGTTGGAGCCTTCACTCGGTCGGTCCTCCCAGGCTGAAAGGGGCGAAACGGTGCACCGCATCCACCGTTCCCACCGGTGGTTTGGTCCGAGGCGAAAAGGGGCCGAAGTGCGGTCGAGGCTTCCAAGTGGCTCAGCCCACTTGCAGGCCTCTTCGACCTTTTTCCACGAGTTGGACTTCACATGAATGCTTGCAATCCTCGGATGGGACAAAAGGCGTCATCCGACACCCCAAGAAATCGGGGTGGGATCACCCAAGTTCGGCTATTCTGGCACCCCATCAATTTCTTCAAAGGGGGAAGTAAATCGCCAGGCGGCTGATCGATATCAAGGCATTGTTACTTGGTTTCACAGGGATACGGGATACAAAATGCAGTCGAACAGTTGCCTTTCGTGCTATTCGGTGGTTGATCCAAATGTTGCTCAAAACGTCCGCAGAACCACGATTGACATCCAAGGAGACTGGGGAATATGTTTTTGCAAATGATCGTGGACTGCTGTAGCAGACTTGCCTGGCGTATTCTAAAATTCAAAAAAAAAACACCTAGAAAATCATGACATCAGCCCCGGCAGACTTTAAGGTCACCAGAAAAAAAAAAAGGTGCAAAATGCATCCGATACACCCAAGTTGACCATGTTTATATTTGATGTGACCCAGCACTCTGGCCTGTGTACCGGGATCCATGGACGGTTAGTTAGGACAGGATACACAGACTAGGCCAGGGGCGGTCAGGGGCGGCCAGGGGGTCTCCTGGATCTTAAATACACAGCGCCGTGTCTGTGTTCTTTGAAGCTCATGCGGTGAGACCAGCTCATCGTCTACCGGATTCCTTCCTGGAGATGTTCGGGATTTGAGGAAAACATTCCACCTTGGCTGTTTCATCTGATGGTCTGTTCTTTTCAGGGTCAGTAATTAGTGACATTACTCAGCAGTGTCTTCTGGCTTAGCAATCGTGTGAGTTTTGCCATCTGTTCCTGTGTTAGTCATCAGTCCATGGACCAGTCCGTTTGTTGTGAAGGAAAGCCCAACCATCTGACTTGTGCTTAGTAGGGAATGAGGGTGGCTGGATCCAATGGAATCTCTTTGGGGGGCTCGTACCAACTGCCAAAGCCAACAGCAGTTGGATCAAGTGGCACAGAGTAGCACAGAGTGGCTGAATCCGAGTCGCACCAAGTGGCACACCTTCCCACCATGCAAACACATGTTCGACCACATGGGAAGACACACCTGGTCGTCGTTAGAAAAAAGAAGAACGAATGCTGTGAAGTCGGAGAGTACTCTGAATGGAGTGGAGTGGTCTCCAAATCGAACGGAGATATCTCAGATCGATGTTTCTGAAGCACACAGATGTCTCCATCTGAGAAGTCTGAGATGATCGTTTTCCTTCTTTCATGGATGAATGATAGCTTTCAAAAGCTAAGATCCTCATCCACTCATATCCACAACACTGACAATACATCCAAAGACTCACCCATGCCTCAATCCCTTACTATCTTTAATGAGCAAATGGGACCAAGCACTTCGTCCATCCTCGTCTTCCACCCAGGGTTCAGCTCCAATTCTCTTGCTTCCCAGGCCGATGACAGCTCTGAGGTCGACTGCAGCGTTGCCAGAGTCTTGTCTGAGATGGCGTGGGCCTCGCGACAGCCACCAATGCACCATTAAAAGAAAAGGCACCAAGAATCATTGACTGGAAGCTGTGGGTCATCTAGCTGATTGAAGTGACTAGAAACATGTAGCAGTGGTCAAGCCCATCACTGACATCAAAGGTACTGGTTTTCATGGTTGAAGATACTAGGTGTTGGGGCAAGTTCGCTGCCACCTTGCAACCCACTGCTAAGATCTTCAAAATAAAGAGAACACCTCAACCAAATGTCTCCCAGAACACCCCAACTCACATCTCGGAGTCTCAGAAGCTGGACAAACCGCCGTGAACATCACCGTCTCTCCGGACTCGACCAGACGGTCCAAAAGCGGCCTTCTCCCGATCCCCAGGTCCATCCAAGCGCTTCAGGCACTGCACCCAGGCGTCGCGCAGCAGCACGCGAGGCCCTGGCGTGAAAAATCCGGTGTCATGCCATTCACTTCCTGATGTGTTTGTCAAAGACGTATAAAGTATAGCTGGAGCAGTAGATGGATCCTGATGAGAAGAAGCGGTTTTGGGTTCGATCCCTCTTGGGAAATGATGCCCAAATCACTTTAGACATCATGTAGAGTGTTGATGAATAAAACCCCCCCCTGGCACCTGGAGATGAAAAGCCATTCTGGAGATGGGGGTGTTCAAAAAATTGTAAGAATCAAGAGTCTACATGAATTCGTTGGTCCGCTCGACCATCTTTCTGATCATGATGTTTGACTTGATCAAGCTTGGACAGCTCAGAACTCGTAAGAGTTGCATGACTAGTGTGGAATTGGCCCCCGGGTATCCGGAGACACAAGGGTCAGTGACAACAACGCTGATCCCGGTCTTGGGTCAACCAGAACTGCTGCGTCGGAGCCCAGCAGCTAGGTCAAGGTAGCTTCCGCGTCCCAGTCGGCGTCCGTGGGACACCCAAATCAAACAAACAAATGAAGTGCCGGACAACTGAGATTCACTGAATTCAATCAACCACAAGGTTGGTCTGTCGGTCTGTCCATAACCATGCGTACTCTGTAATTACCAATACTGTACCTGGCCAAATAACGATATATGTCCACCCCTCTGTTGAGGAAAAGCAGAAGGCGCGACCCAAAACGCTTGAGGCAGACATTCGATCCAGCTATCCCACAGCGTTCACCCCGCAGCGCGGCCGGGCGCCTGGACCCCGTGCTGTCCGCATGTGCTGCCGCAAGGCCTCCTTTGCAACAACGGTGCTGCCGGCATTCAAAACACTCTGAAGGCTGAGGAACCCGCGTTTGGGAGCAAGGAACATGGACCAAAAGAAGGCACTCCTTCGAACTACTCGTGGAAGTGCGGTTCGCCAGCTGTTTTGAATATGGCCAAATGGTCATCCACGCCATCCACGTGGTCTCGTGGTTTGTTCCAGGGAGTCTATCTCATTAAAAGACCTCTAGAACAAGGCTCCAATTCTTCGTGAGTGTCGCGCGAGTTGTGAAACGCGCGCGCGTTTTCTCATCCTTGGCTGCATCATGGGACGTCTCGGCTAAGAGAGCCTCCGCGGAGGACGGTGAGGACAGATGAGGACGTCGACTTTTCGGGTCAAGGAGAGCTTCTGAATTGGGAGAGGACGTGTGACACACGGTGTTTCCAGGAGGGTCATATTGAAATTGAGGAGGTATGACTGGAGTCCTAGGGGCTCTCTGATTCTCTTGTTTTGGTTCGAACCAATGTGTCCAAGTCATACGGAGTCATACGGACCCGGTCTTCTTTTTTTGGGGGGTGTGGGCTTCGGTTTTTGTTCGTCTTCGTCCAACGTTTTCGTGAAATTGTGATGCATTTTTGAATGAACCATGCCAGCTTGTGGGCAGCATTGTTCCAACACACCTACAGGTACCACTTAATTACATAGAGTTCGGGGTACCTAGTGAACTTCCCATTCACTTCACTATGTCACCTTTCTTTCACATTTAAAGAAGACAAAGAGAAGGTATGCGGATACGCACCATGATAGACATCGAACATTAACATACCTTAACTGTCTCATTCTTCCCACTTCCCTTTTTGCAAGTGAAATCACTCATTCGATGCCGATTCCTCAACAGAAGCCGACTCGAGCTCCAACCAAACGCTCCGAGCAAAAACCACCTGCGTCTGAAGGCTCAGCGCACACTGCGCCCATCCACTCGCACGAAGTTCCATCTGCTCCTCCATCGACCCCGCAGTCAAACCGGTCGACCGAAGAAAAGCGGAAAGTTCGGCGAGGTAGTTGTTTCGGCGAGAAAGTTTCGGAGAGATCTGCGTAGCAGTTGGTTACAAACCGTTGCCTCGGCGCGATAGATTCGAGCTAGCTAAGCAGGCTGTCTGGTGGGCAACGGGCACAGGCCAAAAGAATCGGAAACCCCAACAAAAGGAAACGTTTTTTCTGGTAGAAACACTTTGGTTTTGATGTTAAGCAGGTTCTTTCTGGTTTCTCCATAGAGTTTGATTCATCAGTCGATTAATCCAAACCGACCTCTCCACCCACACCACCTCGCCACTGCCCACCACAATCCCGTCGGCTCCCACAGCCGCTGCGCTTCGCCCGCGGCTGCGGCCGCAGCGCGGAAGCGGCCGCCCAAGCTGTGGCTGCTGGAGGCCAACAAATACCTCGGTCGCAGCCGGTCGCCGGGGTGGGGCCGTGGGAGTGTTCAAGACTTCATCGGTTTTTTCGGTCTTTTCTCCGTCTTCTTGGCACATGAATGTGAGGGTGGGTTAAAAATGCCAAAACCACTCACATGGGTTTTGATTTGTCCCATCTCTCCTTGCAGGAAAAGGAAAGAGAGAAGGAAAAGGCTTCACCTGGGGATGACTTTCTGGACTAAGAGGACGGTGAAGATCTTCAATGATTGGCATTTCTAGTAGCACCTGTTTCGAGGTTACAACCTGAAGTTCATCCTGAAGTTCAGTCATCACTGGTCCTGGTGGTGCACATTTCAGCTGTGGGGGAAGCAATCAACTGCTCACCAGTTGATGCAGCACCACCTGAAAAAGATGTTCTTTGTCTTTCCCTACCGAGTTTTTTTGGATCAGAAAGGATCAGACACTATCAGTGACACTGTCACGGCAGTGGACACGGTGATCCAACACTGTAGAACCATTGCTCCACTAGGCTCCACACATGGCTGTGCAGCTGTGTAGCTCAAATAGGGGAGACCTCCCAGGAAACGGCCTGGGTTTGGTTTGGAAAATAGACCTGATTGGTCCAGGAGGTCTCCAAAAACTCCTGGATATAAAATACACACCCACATCATCATTGGTTTTCCTCACCAGCGAAATCGGCGTTTCGAAATCGGTCCCGGTCCATCATCCGTCTGTCTCGTCCAGCGACATCAAGGCTGCCAGCAGCCGCAGATCTCCGGTTTCCTGTGCCCAAGGAATCGCTTCCTGCGACGAAGACCGTCGTGCGGGAGCTTCTCGAGAAGCTCCCAGCATCGAAGGGAAGAGGAAGATAACCCTCCGACCAGAGGGAAACCTGCCTGCTCAAAATGGGAAACCTGCCGCAACATCCAAAGCGGTTTGAGTTAACCTTTTGAGGGTCTATGTGTGGTACCTGCACCTGGCGTTGCACTCAAAAATGTCCTATCTCTCGCTCTTGGCACATCTGAGTCCTAAGTATTATGTTATATTATATGTGTATGTGTATATATATATATACAGTATATATATATATTGCAATTACCTGTATATTTTTTATTGGAGCATGATCTGAGCAGCGATGTTGCCCCACATAGTGGGTTTGGGTTCACGATAACTTTGGTGGCAAATGAAGCAAACGTTCAAGACCTCTATAATCTCTATAGGAAGACACGCATTCTGCTCAGCATTCTACATTCTGCCACGGAAAACCACTCCTCTTCTTCAGCCCTCCCCGTGGGCCGAGCCGTCCTTGGTGGAAGCAATCACTGCGGCATGTTTCTGCTGCAGCCGCCCCGCCACGCCCAGCAGAAGCCCTGCACGGGCGCGGCACGCGCTCGCGCCGGCGTCCTCGCTCGCATCCAGGAGGCGCAGGGCCTGCTGGGCTGCTGCCTCGATCAAATGCACCCGGCAGTCTCCCGGAACACACATGAACACATGGAAAATCACGCAAAATCATCTATACATACAAAAGTAATCTAACATCACAACCTCTAGTCCTCCACCACCGACTCAACGGTCCTCTTTTCTGTAGCCAGACCATGCCCGCTCTCCACCCGTCTTCTCTCCATCCTTTCCTCGCCCTCGCGCGCACGCGCCCGCAGGCCTCCGCTTCATGGAATTGATACCTTCTCACCTGTGTCAGTGGGACAGTTGAGGTTTGTCTTTTGGACAGCGTGACCCACTTTAAAATCCAGCCAGGGCCGTTTTCATCTCTCATCTCTCCTCCTGGTTTTGCCATTGGATACTTTCCGTAAGCACAACGCTCGAAACCAACGCCAGACCGGTTGAATGAGTGGAGACAGCCCCAACCATTCCGTTGAATTCATCTTCAAAGACTTGAAAGCCCCTTCGCGACGATGATTGGCAATCTTACGCTTCACCGTAACACAGCTTCCCACCAATACGCTGAAGGAGTGGGCTGCCCGTGCCCTTTCTGACTTGGAGATCGCGGACCAGGAGATGGCACCTAGGTAAGATGCTTTCCTTCGTCGCATTCGCCTGTGCCGCAGGGGAACTTTGGAAGGGAGCGGTGGCGGCCTATGCGGGGACAACACCATCGCGAAGAACTGGCTTCAGTCACTTCGGAGCAATACCCGAGGGGGAAGGTTCTTGATCAGGGCCCTGAACCTCGTTGAGATGCACTACTACAACTTCACGGTGGTCAGCGGCTGGTGGCGGACCTACCACAACGTCCATGCCGATTTCATCACTAGGCGCACGCAGGCGGAGTTCGAGGCCTTCGTCCTGGACATCTCCGCGGCGATCCACCTGGCATTGGAGGACTCAGCTCGCTATGGAGCTTGCTTCTTATGAACCCTGACAAGCAAGATGACCGAGCACTACAGCTGCAGCTCCGTGAGAGAAGGGTGACGAAACAAGTCCAGAGGGAACTCACCATTCCGCGGAGGGCTTTTGCTGTGAGAGAATGGACCCCCCCGCGCTGATGGCTGAAAGACTTTGAGGCTTTGGGGGGCGCTCTGGGCGCCGCCATTGAGGACACACAAGGCCGGCCGCGGTCCTGTTGTGCGCCACCTTGGGGGTAGACTACAAGGGCAAGCACATGGAGCAATACCCTTCATGGATGTGACGCCCGCCTGGGCTTGGTTGAGGGGCCCACAAAGGTTAACTGGAACGAGGCCAACAGCGGTGTGAGCGCCGGGGCTGGGGCTATGGAGTCATTGACTTTGTCGCCACAGAAATGGAGAGGCGCTGACACGGAGGGGATGCTGCCTGGTGGTTAACCGCCGTGGAGCTCTACGCGAGGCCTGGGAGGAGTCATTGGTGCGGGCTATGGGACCAGTGCCAATGAGTTCACTGTTGAAGCAGAAGGATCACCACGACCTATGCTGGGTCAAGCCCCTCCGATTGGAACTAGAGAGTGGCATCCCGAGGGATCGGATGCTCCCACAGCCGGCTGGGCATGTATGGTGGGGTGGGGAGCGCGAGGTGATCCATGGGATTGGAGCCCAGGCCGCTGGCCCTTGCTCTCGGAACATGGGGATAGTCTTCAAGACTACTACATCTATGATCGTCGAGGGCCCGGAGGTCACGTACGACGTCTTGATCCTGAAGAACTTTGGGCGCTTCAAGGGCGTGTGCTACATGACCTATCGGCCAACCTCACAGTCGAGGAGGCGGCGATCGAGGGAGTGCGGGCAACAGGGGTTCAGACCGCGGTCAATCTGGTCACCCTGAAAGGGCAGATTCTCTGTGAGCTCCGACAACAGCTGCAAACTTGAGAAAAGCGGGCATGATGCCCGACGAGACGGGTGCAGAGGCTATGGCTCAGATCCTTCTGTGGCCCCGCAAATGGAAACGAGGAGAGTTGAGGAGGAACCCGCCTGACTACGGTGAGAGCTTTGTCAAGGCTGGTGGCGGGACGGAGCCATCGCAGCGGTGTATTTGGAGATGGGCAGAGGCTTGGGCTTGGTGGGATCAGTGCTTGTGGGAGGACGACGAGGAGACCTACCCCATGGACATCGACCAGGAGACGAACGGCTACTACGCGTGGGGGCGTGCAAAACGCACTACTGATCCTCTCAAGGTGGCAGCGGCAGTCGGCGCTCAAGCTGTCCACCTCACCAAGAGCTATGCCCCGTTCTGTGGAGATGTCGAGCGGGTGGAAGAATGGCTGGAGGAGAACATGACCGGGGACAAGAGTGTCGCCACGGCAAAAGCCTACGGGGGTGCCTGGGCCAAATGGTGTGCCTGGGCTAAGAGACAAGGTTGGGTGGACGAGTTCCTGAACCGCAACATCGGCCCGATCGAGAACGAGAACCGTGTCTTGGCCTACGTAGGCTACTTGGGTTGGTTGGGAGCTTCTCCCAACACCATCCGCCAGCACATCTTCGCGATGAAGACTGTCCACTAGAGGAGCGGGAGGGAGACCCGTTCGAAGGGATCCATCGCGTGTGGATCCTTGTCCATGCCTTGGATCGGAGGTCGACCACCCGGCCTCGCCGCCTTGGCGTCACGCCAGAGATGTTGGTGTGGTTGGGCGAGAACCTCTTGGACCACTTGGTGAACGATCAGCACTCCATGGCCTATGCGGAGGCGGTGATGGTCATGGCGGCCTTGGAGCTGGCTTGGTTCTTCATGCTGCGAGCCAAGGAGTTCGGGGGGTCCAACGGGGTCAGATCTCCCTGTTCTTCCGGAAGACCAAGAGTGACCAGCTGGCCTTTGGGGACACCAAAACGCTGCAAGCCACGGGCAAGAGGCATCTCTGTCGGGTAGAGGCCGTGGACCGAATGAGGCCAGTGTGGACAATGCGCTTCCAAGCCGGTCACGCTGAGAGTATGAAGCCGCTGGCCAGGTGATCAAAAGGATCAAGATCCAGCACTTCCTCCAGGAGGCCGCAGGCTTGCCACCAGGGAGGTTCATGTCCCACTCATTGAGGATCGGAGGCGCTTCAGCCTTGTTCCAGTTGACGGTTGGCATCGAGCTGGTGAAGCGGGCAGGGAGATGGTCCTCTTCGGCAGTGCTGGGGGGGTGAGTCAGCCCGGTCTCGAAGAAGATGGCCGCCGTGGGTGACCTGACGACCTTCAAGTGAGGAGTGGGCTGGGGAAGGCAACAAAAAGGTTGCCACAAGGCCTGGACTTCGAAGAAGCCAGAGCTGACAGTGTGGTTTGCCGCCGAAAAGGTCGCCCGTCGGTGGAAAGTGCATCACGCACACTGAAGTTTTTTTCCAACACACACACACACACAAACCAAAACAAGAAAACTGCAACTACCTCCTGCCAAGAAAGAACCCAACCCCTCGAAGAGCCTCTCCCCTTCCGCCCGTCCTGCAACTCCCCGAGCACCAGCACGACCAAGACCCTGCCCGCGGCGGCCGTCGCCGGAATCGCGCCACACCGCAGGAAGGCAGCAGAGGCTGCCTGCGAGCGCCAGAAGTGCGGCAGTCCAGAAGTGGTTCTGGTGGCGTCAATGGTCAAAGAGAGGCAGAAAGTATGTATACTCGGAAGTGGAAAACTACCTGTTCCTACAGGAAAGTAGTCTTCCAAGGGACCATGCCATCCTTTTCCATGATTATTTCATTTGTTCAGGGAGTGTAACACCTTTCCCCAGATCAATTCAGTTCTTGTTTGGTGAGCTCAGTCCGCGTGTCAGTCTGTGTCTCTGTGTGCTTGAACACAGTTCTGAAAGATTGATTCCTCGCAGGCAAGACTCTTAGCTATTTGTCTTGCTCCAATGGGATGAACAGAAATAAATGCAAAGCAGGCGTCCAAAAAAAGATATGGTGCACTTGGAGAAACAAGGAACCTTCTCGGAAAGAACCCAAAATCACATGGTATGGTACTACCGCCACACCGGTCCAGAACCCGATGAACCTGAACTTCGGCCGGACGCGGTCGGACCGTTCTTTGCCGAGACCACCGAGGGCCGATACGGCGGGTCCACGAGTCGTAGCTCTGAGGAGGACCAGTCGCTCCCTGTTTTGGCTTGGGAAAGGTTTTGGTTCACCGACCAAACGGGATCACCGGCTCGGCTCCGAATTCGGCTCAGCGGCTGTCCCCCGCGGCCGGTGTCGGGACATATGCTCTTCACAGCACCCGAGTGGTGACCCGTCTCTTGCTAGCAAGATCCTGCTTCCGCATCGGGTCGTTCTGGTCGTGGCATGACCGGTGGGCTGAGACGTTGGAAGTTGACGCGGTTCAACTGGACCAGCTCAACGCCTGGCCCTTCCAATTTGCGAGAAGGTTCACCAAAGTAAAATGTTGTTCAAGGCAAAGAAACTAGAGGATAATCCACTCACTCTGAGACCTTCGGGATATCAACTCAAACCCTCCCCATTGCCACGGGCCACATGCTTCGAAGCCCTGTCTGGGGGGCTTCGACCAGAGTTCGGTTTCTCACCTGGAAAGGAAAACCAGGAAAAAAACAACCAGAAACACATGGATAAAACTCCCAAGTCCCAACCTCTTGCTGTAAAGGATCGAAGATTTTTCTGGGTTCCAACAGGTTCCAACCATCTGTTTCTGGTTGGGACTGTGCTTCTCACCTTGCACCACTTTCAAAACCTCCAGCCTCGGCGCAACGAAGGCCCTCATCCAGGTTCTTGGCATCGCAGTGCAATTCAGCCATGGACCTAGGCATTGCTCGCGCGAAAGGGCTCGTGCGCGAAAGGGCTCGTTTTCCTCCGCTCGGGTCAGGAGCCTTCACTCTGCCGATTTTCCATGAATTGTGGTTGCTATGAACAGTTGTTTTTACGGTATCTCGCTGGGCCAACACCCAGCGAGCGTGTCTCTGGGCGAATTGGTTGACATGCGGAGCTTGAACGAAATGGATGTTAGTCTCTGAACCTTCCAGTCGACCTAGGAGGTCTCCCTGTGGAAATCCACACCCAGGTTGTCTCCGCCCTCCGGGCATGTTTTGGGGTGCCGGACACACAGAACCTCACGTGAACACCCGGACACACCTCGCGAACCAGGGATGTTTCGAAAACACGAACCGGCCCTTTCTGAGCCCAGCCGGTTCGATCCGAAACTTCTTTTATGCCTTTTTCACTGAAAAACGCACACTCCACGTTTGAGAAAAAGCTTTTGCTGGTGCATGTGGTTGAACTCCTGGGTCAATTTTTGAGATCCATCGGAAATGTCGCCCAGGTTCTCAGCTTGAAACTCGCCACTCCAACTTCCATGGTTGTGACAAAAAACGGAACAACAACAACAACAACAACAAAAGGACCATCCGGCACCGACCGTCCGGGCAGCGTCCGACCGGTTTTCCCTCCGGAGGATTCGGCGCTGTCCGACGGGAGGCCGGCCCTGCCAGTGAACGATGGAGTTTAGATGGCACGTACCATTACAATCTACATCAATCTACAGTAACTCTCCATGAGAAGCCTTCACCGTGCTTGACCATTCAAGCACCTACATTGGGTCTTGTGTCATCCACTCTGCTGGAAATAGGTACGATGCACCATAATGCACCTAGTATCGCCTATATATATATAGTATTTAAAGGGGAAAGAGCATATGACAACGGCCATGCTTTCATCATTTATCTATAAATCGTATTGTAACGTCAGGTATTTAGATAGAGAATATCAACACCTGTTTTACCAGGTGTCAACCTCGATGGTTGTTCACCATCCCAGTTCGAGTTCGAAGTGACTCTCTCCCAGCAGGTCTCAAGAATAGAAAAAGAACATCACGCCTGAAAGAACTGCGACCCAGCCAGCATACTTCCAAAAAGGGTAATGTGGACTCTTGATTAATGAGCCCCCCTATGAAGAGGATTTTCAATTCAGTCGGTTGGATTTATTAATCAAGATTATCAAGAGTCTACATTATGGACTCTCCTGGTGATTCCACCTTCAGCCAAGGCACATCAAGAAGCAGGCCTCTCCAAAGTCATCGCCGCTCAGCCTCGCACGACGGAGTTCCTCCTCCGCCAACGCCACGGCGGCGGCAGCGAAACGGGCGCCCGTTCCGCCGCCTGCGCAGGGGGCGACGGTCGGGACGTGGGGCGGAAATGCTGACGGCCTTCGTTTGGGACAAATGGACCGGAGTCCAGGTGGACTGGGTAACTGGCCATCCACTCAAATATCAGGTTGGTCGTGTCTACTGGTCTATTGGTCGGCCTATTCTAAACTTCTCGACCCGATTCTCTGCTTTGTGCTTACCATATTCATCCATATTCCAACATATTGTAGCTGCGGTTCAAAACCAGGACACCTGAATACCTTGGCAACCGACTTGCAAACAACGTCCTCTCGCTCCCCATCCACCCCCTTGATACTCAGTGGTATCGGGCATGAAGGGGGTGAACCAAAAACGGACCTATCTAGTGTTGGTGAGTAAAACCCTGATCTGGTTTGGCACAAGCTCGCTCCCTGTGCCTCGGCTGAAAGTCCATCAATCCATGTCAAATCAATTGCTCAGAAAACACGAAGCATTGCCTGAACTCCTCTGGTCCCTTCCTATCTGCCTGGCAGCTCATGACCTCCCCCAAGACAACAGCGAAGCCACGCAGTCACCCCCCAACTCCAAACCGCAGCTCAGCCACACGCGCAACTCCTCGCACGCAGCGCATGAATCACCGTGCGGGCGGACCAAGCTGCCGAGTGAAAGTCCCCATCCGCCATGAAGAGATGCCAGGCCTCAACGGCCGTGTGCCTCAGTCGACCGTGAACGACGCGGTTGGCCTCGGTCGGGACCGACCTACAGTCCCGTGCCAGGGCTCCCGGGTCCAGATCCGGTTCGGTGAGCACAAACCCGGCATCCACCCCTGGCCCACCTTCTGAGGATCTGGTTGGAGCCCTCGGGAATCACACTTTGATGGCATCCCGAATCCCGCCGCACAAAATGACGGAAATGGAGTACCACTTACTAAGACCTTACCGGAGACATATGTTTTGAGCGTGGATGCCATCAAATTGTGCTGTGTTGTGACTCTGCAGTTTGAGGATTCCGTCGCCCACATGTGAACAGTTCCTTTTCGCGATTACTGGGTTATTGCTGAACCACTCCATCCAAATGAATACAAAATAGCAACATCAACATACAGCACATATGGGGAATCACACTTTGATGGCACACCATGATCAAAGCCGGCGATCTGACAACACAACCAAGCCCAAATGCCATCAACCTGTTTGCTCCACACATGTTTGCATGTAAATCCAGCCAGCGGTTGAAGCCTTTTGAAGGACGTCGTTGTTTATTGTTTTTTCAGAATCTCACTAGATGCCATCTATTTGTTCCGGGATCTAGCCTCAAGTGGTTGATGGCATTTCCCAAGTAGAGATCACAAATTGATGGCATATCAAAGATGTTTTGCGAGTGCCATCAAATTGTGATTCCCCATATATAGACCAGACTTATGTAGTGTGTACAAGAAGAAGGGAGTGTGACAGTGTCCCCTCTCTGAATCAACCAACCAATATACAAGAACTTGACAAGTTGACTAAAGCAACATCTTTATTCCTGTCACTTGTCTCAAAAAGTGGACCCGATTTTCTTTCTCACAGATTCAGATTCCGTCCGGCCTTTTTTGTTGCGCCGTTTGCGACGCTTCAATGAGCGACCCTCGAACACCTCACTCGGACATGTGTCCATTCTGGCTGCCTCCGCTCGGCACCAGTCGCCTGCGAACTGAGGTGGATCCCAACATACCAAGCAGCTGGGCTTTCTCCAGCTCTTCCACCCTCTCCGCCGTCAGCAGCGCACGCTCCGCCAGCGAGAAGAGCAGCGCCGCCGCGCGCGCGGCACGGCTGCGCTGCTCCGGCGTCGCGGCATCGGCTTCGAGGGAGAAGAGCTGCGCGAGGCCGTCAGTGGGGGTCTCCCCAGCAGCATCCTGAGAGCAGCATCGATGTGCTGGATCGGGAGATATGTCAGACAAGGATATGGCCTACAAAGATTCAAGACTTTCTACTGGATGGAGTTGTTGGAATGCAGAAAAAAATCTCCATAAAAAGGAGAGTTTCTGGGAGGCCACCGCTAAACTCAAGGCCAAACAACAACGAAGGATAAGCGTCGTATTATGTCGTATTTTTTGGCACATCGCACCAGGACGAATCGACCGCTTCACTTGAGTTGTAGGAAGTCATGGGATGAAGATGGATGAAAGAGGGTTAAATCGGTTTGGCAAGCAGAATCGCCCAAACTCTTCGAACATCTCTCGCTCGCCCCGTTCGGACCCTTGCCTGATTTTTCATTTCGATTTCGATTCGCGCTCGGTTCATGTCTGTGCGGCGCCTAGCATGAATTCTTAATTAATGGTGGCGCCTTTGCAGAAGTCGGGCCCAAGGGCCGTCGGGAGGTGGAGTTTCAACTCCTCCAGCCAGTCCCGGGCCGCAACAACTTCTCTCAAAGGACGATCTGCTACTGTCCCACCATCTAATATACAGTAAAGCGAGAAAATCGTATCTCCATTGAGAACATTGTCCCAAACAAGAATAAGTTCGTAATCCGGCTGTCAGGCAGCAGCTCACCACTGCGGACAGACACAAAATTGCCGTGGACACAAGTATTAGCCAACTTGGGCTGCAAAAGTCTGCATCTGAAAAAACAATTGCACGATTCGGATCTATCGACAGGTTTACGAAAACCTGGACCGGTCGAGCCAAAATTGCTGCCTTCTTGGACAATACAAGTTGTCCCAACCCCACAAGGCAGAGGGGGGCAAGTCCTTGACAAATCAGGCGTGTTCTTGAGACTGGCAGCAGTCACTCGTGGCTCTGGTAGGTCAATCATCAAAAAACCGGTAGACAGGGGACAAGTCGGCTGCTGCGAACGTTCAACAGGCCCAACCAGGGCGGGACCAAAAGCCTGCCCATGCCAATCAGCACGGTTCTGCATGGTGTTCAACCACAAGAATGGGAAGTCACCCACAAGGAGATCCTCGATCATGGGCCATTGAAACCCGGTCCAGTGTACATGTGGGCAGAGGGCCATCAATGCTGCAATCACCGTTTCCTGAGAAAACATCACAGGGACAGCACGAGCAGGTCGAAGTCCGGCGGCCAGCAAAGCCATCTCCTCACCCTGCCTGTGGCGACGCCTGGGGAGTACGGTACGAGAAGTCGTAGTGGTCCAGACAAGAGCACGCAATATGTCTGCGTGGTACAACACGTTACGCGGGCAGTCACAGATCAATGCACAACCATGCAACGTCGGCAAGGCTTCAAGCAAAGGGTCCTGGTAGTGGATCCAACGTGCATACTGTAGGACGCTCTCTGATGCAGTGCGACCCATTGGGACAAGGGCCAACGATGTGAAAAGTGTCCTTGGCCAATGTAGACCTCATGCGCTTAGAGCTGCTTATGACTGGAGAGCACCTCATTGGCCACCAACCTGGAGGGAACAAAGGATGAATCCACACCCCTGCATTATCGAGACTTGCTACTGCTAGGGCATGTGGACGGATATGCACACCATCCGGAAAGCCCCATATTTCCAGCAAGACTTGAGAGACACTCAACACTTGCCAGATTGCTGCAACAGCAGCAGCTACCGAGTTCACATACCATTGAATTAAAAGACGTTCCTCTCGGAAACCTCTTGGAGGACAGAGAAGAAGCTTCTTGTAGAAAGTGTACATGGCTTTGATCATCAGCAAAAAGCAGCATAAACCAAAATGGCCAGCCACGAAGCAGGGTACCACAGTTAGGGCAGCAGCATTGGAAAACGCATCAAGAAGGAGATCTTGATATTCCTCAACCCAAATATAGGTAGCCAAAACTGACCAGCAAACTGAAGGTGAACTGAAGCTCAATGTGGCCGTTTTAAACCAGGCGCCAGATGCTCCATCTAATGACACATCACTCCCGATAATGTCAAGTGTACTAGGACAAATTTTTTGAGGTTCAGACCAACAGATGGGTCAACTCCCTGATTCCTAATCTCGAGGTGTCCTAAAAGAGACCCCGAGAAAAAAGCTTCTAACAGACTCCAAGTGGCTATGTAGTGCTCAAGAAGAACACATCCATCCAGCCATAACTTGTCAGCTATGACTCCATCTGCGACAAACCGGCTGACCTGCTTGAATCCACGGACTGAGAAGCATCTCTTCGAGGAATTCTTTCTCGCTTGGATCCATGTTCGAGTGTTGACCTCATCCTCTCTACCTGAGCCAAACGTGCCGCCCTTTCTCGATCCTTCTGAGTAGTTGGCAAAGCTGCAGAGGGAGGCTTCACTTGCTGAGGAGAAAAAACTTCGGTTGCAGGCCACACCGGGACTGCAGGTACTTCTCCCCGCTGCACCAGGTAGGCATTGAACCGCTCCGTCAAATCTGACAGTGCCCTCTTGCATGCTACAAGCTCTGTCTTTAGCTCGATGTTTTCCATGCCCAGTGCCTCTGGGCTCATACCTAAATCTCCAAGCTCTAAACGCCCGGTCTCTTTGAGCATGGTCTCCAGCTCCTGAGTAGCGGTCTCGATCTCCTTCTCCAATTCTTTGACTTCCGACTCGTACACTTCTTTTTGTGCCTTGCGGTGTGCATCGAGCCGCTCTTGGAACTGCACCCGTGCTTTCTTCTTGGCGGCAAGCCGCGATTTCAACTTCTCCAGCGTCTGTGTGACCTTTTTCCTGGAGTTCAAGGACTTCTGCTCTGCCTGAATCTCTGTTGTCATAGGACCAGCCTCCAAAACCTTGGCACCATGCTCGACCAGGTAGGCTGCAACCGCCTCCTTGATCTGCTTCGAATCCACCGACGGCGTGGTAGCTGAAGAGTTAGAAATTCCACATCCCCCTCTTTCTTGCTCTTGTTCTTGTCCTTGTTGACATCCTTCTTGTCGTCTCCTTTGCCTTTTCTCGGCCATGCTCCACTCCAGTAGCCCTTTTGGCCGGAACCCTTGTATGCATTCCATCCCATCGAAGGTGATGAGTGGTGCGAGCGAGGACAAGATCTGCCAGGCCTTGTTCAGCCTGTCCCTCTTGCCCTTCGAAGCCTTGTGGGTCGGCTTGTGTTTTTCTTGTCGCAACAGCTTGCGCGCTCTAGAGCGCTTTGCTCTCGCTCTTCTGTGCCACGAAGGACCCGCAGCACGTCGTGTAGCCTTCACGGTCGCCAAGGATGGGCACCCCCACAAACAACCCAGCGATGGCCACCGCACAGCAGACACAACACGAAAAGGACGTGCGCGAACGCACTGGGGCAAAAACGCGATCGAACGCTCGTGTTCGTTTGAGCCCTACCCTTGCCTGAAACTTTAAAAAGAAAACAACGCATCCTTCTTCCCCGTTTTGCCGTGTTTTCTTCACCCATTTCATTCCTTCAGAAAACAAGACATCTCTTCTAAGAACGCGAGCTGCGCTCGCGCAGGCTCGGCTCGCTGCGCGCGAGCTCCGAAACGCGAGCGGCGCACGAGCTCCCGGCCAGGCGTCCAGGAAGTCGCATCCCGGTGGGACGAAGTACTCCGTTGCTTCCATGCCATGCGGGGCGCGCGGGTTTGGGGGAAGGGTGTTCAGCGAAGGTGTGGCTCCCCGAAGGATGAGGAAGCGAAAAACGCGAAATCTCTCTGGTCTGACGAAGGGGTGGGACCAGACCAAAAGAAAAGACCATATTTTGGGTGGTTGATGGTCCAAAATAGAGGTCATTCAGGTTCCAGGTATATATAGGTTTTTTGGGGGACTTCCTCTTCATTCAGTGGGGCAGAAGATCGTGAAACTGGACGAACCTCGGTTTTTTCGTGTCAAAACGTTGGAAAACCATGGAAAACCGCTGATGGGTGCTGCTGACAGGAGAGTTTTCAGTGACTGGCGGTGCAGTCCTGATGTCCCCTGACCCCATAACTGCCCCAAGACTGTCCCTCGAATCCGCACGGTGAGATGGTCACAAGAATCCACCCCATTTAGAGAGCAACACCCATCTTTTTCGACGCCGCATGTCACGCCGCATGTCCTCACCAGCCAGAAAAGCAAAAAAAAGAAAACATGTCTGAGAGCCGAAAAGCCTACAAAGACCGACCGGTAGCTCGGCCGCTGCCCCTTCAGATCGACTTGCTAAGGGGATTCTGTGGGGCTCTTGAGCCAGAGACACTCCCAGCCGAGGCTGCCGAGTCGTTCAAGCCAGACGTCGGAACATGGGGGAAAGGATGGGAAAAGGGAAAGCTGGACTCAGTCCGGACCATTGATATGCCTAGTGTCGAGAGGAATCCTAAGGCTAAGGGGTAAGGTTCTCAGGACCTTCAATTGGTGTCTACAAATAGTGGGGCAATAGCATTGTCGTAACCATTATCTGGGGCTTGAGATCTCCCCAGGAACCGAAACACCGCGGCCCCTCATGGCCCCTCTCTCACGCGCGACGCGCCGCGACTCGTCGACGACACCGAGCGTTGAACTGGAGGATGAAACACATTGAAACACATGTGGGTAGACTTCTCAGGTCATAATTTGTTCATACAGGGCACATTCGGTCACACACCAATGAGTTCGAAACGTTAGACGGGTGGAGAGGACGGAAGCCGAAATTTTCAGTCCTAGCTTCTGCGTACGTGGGAGTGCTCACGTGACGATGCTCTAGATGAATCACGTACTTCCCAGAAAAACAATCAAGGAATCGTTGACGTTTCACACAAAACGGGTCTTCTAGGATGAGAAGAGGGTCTCAAGGCAGCTGGAACCTTTGGTGATGAGTCAGACGCGCCATCCAGTTGATGTCCCAGTTCAAAACCCCCAAGTATCCCAAAAGCCCCCAACATTAAAACTTCTTGGAAGAAACACCTGGCAAAATCAAGGAAGATTAAAGAAAATAGTTCTCAAATCCTCAGGAAGATTCGTGGCATAAATGTTCCTCAACCTGTCCGATTCCAGACAAGAAACATATAAAACGTGCGGCAATAAATGAAAGACCTTCCGAAACTTCAGGTCTCTCTCTCGGCTGATCCCTGGACCACAACCTACACGAAAACCAGGTACAGTCCGGTCAAACCAGGTACAACGCACCGCGAACTTGGACTTGGAGCCCCCGTCCCAAAGCCATCGTCACGCGTCGCCTGACTCGACCGTGTTCGTTTTCCACCGGAGGTCACGAACGGAGCGGTTGGGTTGCGGGTCCGGTGGTCCGGTCTGGTGAGGAGTTCTTCCAAACAGAGATCGAAATAGAATGGTTCCGGAATGGTGGTCCGTCAGCCATGGATCAGATTCCATTCCGTGATGAAAGGAAAAGGGCACCCTAAAGAAAAAGGATCCCTTTTTGTTGAGAGATCTACCGTTCGCTTCCATGATGTCATCTAGGACGTGTTTCACGGACACAGCTGCTCACCAACTGCTCCTCCACTGTGTCCGTCTCACATCCTCCACTTCGCTTTGACTCCGCCTCGGCCCCCTTCCGAGCCTTGACCGGTCTCCTACCCTTCGGATCCATGTTACGGGTGTTCCCGGTGCTCGGTCCATGCGGTCCCGTCCATCGGATCCATTACGTCCATCGTCCGGAGAGGACGCGAGGCCTCCTTGCTTCGTTCGCCCGGCGTCGGACTGTAGACTCTTAGATAATATATATGTAATGGACATTTCTAAGATCTTAGATGACTAGATGACTCTTAGATGACATTTCTAAGATCTGATGATTACTCTTAGATGACTCTTAGATGAGACTACATGACATTTCTCTTAGATGGATGTAATCCCCAACAAAAGCCTGAAGAGTTGTGACCATCATCTAGGGCAGCGTCGCCATATGCGTTGTGACCATCATGCTGCCGTTTAACTCGTTCGGGTGCGAGACGGCTCGAGGTGCGTTTGCATTTTGAGCCAGTCCGATAAAAAGGGGTGATGGGAAAAGGAAGAACAGAACACAAAAGCGTCTGATGAGAAGGCATTTGTAAAAATCAGCCATGATGTTCCACTAAGTCCTTTTGTGACTGGACGGTAGTATATTCATATCCAAAAGTAATCATTCCTAGAGCTCAAAGATTCACCTCTCTTGAAAAATGCAAGTGGAACCATCTTCGGGGAGGAGAATGGGTGATCCAACAAAGAGGGAGAATTTGCTTCAGATCACTCAGGTTCTTCACATCATGTGTGTTAGACTTCCCATCTTCGGCACTCGTTTCGCACGCGGCACAGCTCTTTGGCACCGAAGAGAGGTTGGGAATGGACTTCTCCGACCCCACCGCGGTTCTCGGGCGTTGCAATTGGAACGGGGGCTTCGACATCGGACGGGCCGATTGGCTGTGATGATGGCTGAAAAGATCCACGTGCAGGGCAGGTCCGATTGGGCGGGTTGGGTTTATCCTCCCACCCATACCCACCCACACCCACCTTGCTGGAACCCCGCGAACCTCGAGCGCGAGCGACGTGACGGTGAGTTCGGCACTGCAGCAGGTGACCAGGTCATGACTGTCAAGGGAACTGAAGCCGTGGTGGACTCAAAATCTGTGTGTTTGAAGTTAGTTCTTAGGTCCTCGCTTCAGACATCTTGGGTTGATGCGCAGCAAGTCTTCTTGCTTCTGCATCCGCGCCAGGGATTTGTATTTCAAAGAAAAACCGGACAGGTCGCCCACGGTTCGACCTGCTGGGGTCCTTCCCAACCCTCAACTAAAGGCCTGGCAGTGCCTGGCAGTGCCTGGCAGTGAGGATACTGCTATACATATACCTAGAACCTTGTTGGGGAGCCAAAAAGGACATGGTCTATAGGTATACAGTATATACTATAGGTGATCATTTTCTTTGAGACGGCCTGGTGCACATCGTTTACACCGCCTGCCGCCTGCCTTGAATTGACGGCTCCCTGATTGAGAAAACCGCACATGCCCCTTCAACGAACAAACTCAACTCCCCGATGTTCAAGTTCTTCTTCATGGATATGTGACCGGTAAACTGACGCCACGAGCAGCCAGATGAACAGGCCAACAGGCCAGTTTTATACCTACCAGCGGATTCGGCCGATCGGCACACGGAACCTTGCTTCACTGGTTTGTGGGTCAAAAGCAAGATACCTTGCTTGACCTACCTGAAAGGTCCTGACCCGCGGCAAATGGTGGACGACCAGTCGGGCTCCAGGTATGGACCCGCAGCAGCTCTCCATCTGCCACCACTGCCACCACTCAGGCAGCGACACGTTGATCGGCCATGCCACAGGCCATGCCAGTTGCGGAGATTTTTGGTACACAAAGTTCGGCGTTCGGTGGGCCCCAAAATCAATCAGTCATATTTCCCTCAGAAGAGCCAGTTGGAATCCGTCTTTATCTCTTTGAAGACCACCACTGTCAGGCTGAGCAAAGGTGACATCACCAATTACTGTATACTGACTCGTTCAGCGACCTGTAACAAGGAAGTACCGTATTCTTATGTATTCTTACTGAACCCTCTGATGCCTCAACAAAAAGGATGTCTTTTCACGAAGTGAAACGAAGGAGTTCAGATTGATTCAACATGATTCAACTCGATAAGCCAGAGTGTGTCCGCGATCCGCGTGGAGTCCGATCCGTGATGGACTGCGGTTCTCACCATGCCTCGTGGAGGATCCGGAGAGAGAGAGAGAGAGAGTCCAAGCATCCACCTACCCCAGGTTCTTAGGTGGCCACACATTCTGAGAGGAAAGTTCACTCAATCCGATGCCAGTCTTGGAAGGTGTGTCCCTTTCGGTCTTGGAAGGTGGTAAGTTGTGTGTATATATATATATATATTCTACACCATATATGTTTGTCGTATATGTATATAACAATTCTATATATATATATACAGTGTACAGTATATATGGAACCCATTTGACCTCTATGTTGATAAGAAAACAGCTTATTTGGGGTGGTTGGTGGTCCAAAATGGATGTCATTCAGGTTCCAGGTATATATACAGTACTAGCCCAAAGAAAATATAACAACATATTGGCTCATAAGGCCGTTTGAACTCGGCCATCGACAAACATACAGTAGACAATAGTAGACATATCTTTAAAGAAGCCACCAGCTTTACTTGGAGGGCCATTACGGGTAAGAGACATGACTTCAACAGAAAGGCCAGCAAGCGTTTTCCTTCGAAGAGACCTCGCGGAAGCTTCGGCCTTCTTGGAAGGCAGAAGCCGTTAGGCGTCCAACGGATGGAGAGCTATGTACACATCGTGAAACTTTGCTGCTTGCTAGTTGGCCGCTCGATTTCAGCTTCGCTGTGGTCTCCGAGCGATGGAAAGCTTGGTGTCTTTTTGTCCATCTTGAATTTTTTTCGCATGCCTGGCAATGCGTTCCTTTGTTTCTATCGCTCTTTCACCTGTCGTCGTCCACCGCGCAAGCGCGCGACCGTCACCGTGGGACGCGCCGGAGGCCACGGTAGTACCTGGTAGGACCGCAGGACCGGTCCAGGTGAACCGAACCGGGTCACCGATCGAAGGGTGACGGTGAACGATGAACTGGCGAACGGGGGTGGATTGGTGGGGAGAAATAAGAACATGTGTGGTGGAGATATAGAGATGCGTTTTGGCAAGCTGTTTTTTTTTGTGTTTGTATGTTTTTCGCTAGCACATGCTGCGATTTGCACATTCTTTGATCATTTGCACGGCTGCATGCTGCCAGTTCTCCTGCCAGGGCACTCTTCAAAGGGACAAGAGGTCGCGCCAC